TGGAAGACTTTACACTCACTGTTTTTGGCTAAGATGAAAGGTAATTAGCCTATGAAAAGTAAAACACCTTCAACAGGAAGGAGCAAGGCATTCCCAGGACAAGGGACACCTCCTTAAGGAGGAAGACTAAGACATCGAATTCCCTGATATGGGAGGGGCTTAAGAAATACTTCACTCTTTCATGTTTCATACTGGATACTTCCATTACTCACAGGAGTTACTTACTGGCATGGTTCTCAGTTGTCCTTGTGAAATCCAGAAAAATTCCCAGCCTGGACATTATGAAAGTGAGCAGATGCCTACTTCACTCAGTATGATCAATCTACCCCCTTCCCTGTAGGTGCTTGAGTCTCAGTGTTAAGTGGGTCTCAGAAAAAATGTGACAAGACACTTTCAAAATGGGATTTTCAACACACTTGTAATATAAACCCTTTTGAAGTTCCCAGTGAACAAAATTCTCTTTTTAGTTTGTCAGTAGCTATCAGCACTGCTGAGCTACAGATGTATCATTAATGGAAAGGATATATGTTTACATACCTTATAGCTAGATTCCCAAATAATTGCCACAGTTTTAATAGGTGTTAGATCCAGCAGCTCTTACTGAGTTCACTGGCTGGTGTGAGGCACTATCCAGTTTGGCAAATTGGAGTTTTATTTAGCAGTCCAGCTTCTGGCACCAGCTTTTGAGAAACTTGGCCACGTTTCTCACATAATGTTAACACAGTCACACTGTATGTCTCAGCATTGTATGACATCCATACATCCAGCACTCTGCTAAGCTGCAAATTTAATAAGACAAGTGAAAAAAAGGAGAAAAGCGTACATACGTGTGGTGGTGTTAATTTAGTGTGTATTTGCTTTTATTTGGGAAAGATTAGCCTTAACTCACCACTGTATGACCACATTTGGATACAAATAACAGGCAAGGGAATAGAAGGCATCTCTGCAGATCACCTGGGATCAGGACTTAGTCCAGAGTGTTTACTGTCAAACTGAGCTCACACAGAAGGCATTTCAATAAATTTAAATAACTATTGATTCTTCAAAAGATTTGTGTCACAGAGTTTGTACAGCAGTGGAATAGAGATGCCCTTAGCAATTCCAACTCTGTTTCTGTTGGGTTCAGGGTTTTTGTTGGTTGGATTTTTTGGGTGGCTGTCTTGTTTTGTTTCATCCTTCATTTCTTGACACATATATTTTTATCAAGTTATCATTCATGGCAGCAAAGGCCTAAGCAACCTCTGAACCTCAAATTCTTGCAAAATTCTTATTTAGTGGTACTAATTTGACTGATTTAATGTTTGTTTGATATCATCTATCCAGAAGAAAAACATCAAATCTGAGCTGCTTGTTTAGAGTTCTCCGTCAGAAAGATAGGCTCCTCTTTTGTGCAGTTCATGTGCAGCCAAGATAAGAATCTAGGTCAGGTGAGATGAATCCCTCCCTATAGCAAAGGCTATGAAGCCAGATTCTCTTGTAGTCCACATGAAACCGGTATCACTATCATGAGACCTGCAGCAGGATGTGAACTCACATTTTCAGACATGAAAGGTTGTTTCATTCACCCACTTGACCATCCTACATACTACTGATTGCTAGGAAAGGAAGCACAAGCCTACAGGAATTGTTCTGCAGTGATGGGTGGACACAGCTTTAAAGAACTGCCTGAGAACTTTGCCAAAGGGTGGCCAAAATGACTTTCTCATTCCCCTGTTCCATCCGTCATGCCACAGTGAGTGATGCCTCTGTAAATAACTCCCTTGGCCAAGGATAACAGTCACACCTGGCCAGCTGTTTCTGGTGGTCATGCTGTCTTAGGATAGGGTCCAAAGCCCACTGAAATAATTGGAAAAGGCCCTGTTGACTGAAGCAGATCTCTGGATCAAACCCTTAGTCCTTATTTCTACTAAATTAACTATGCAAGCTGGCAGTAGATTTCCATGCATCATTCATGGTAGGCCATGGACCTTTGGGATTAATGTAGAAGATCTATAGTTCCATATTATCAGAAATTTTATCCCAGTGGTTTTTAATAAGTGATGTCATTGCTCTCATCTTCCTCTGATGATGGATTTCTGGAAAAAACCTAGGAGATCTCTTAAGACTGAAGGGGCTACTCCCATCTTTCACATAGAAATGGGCTTCTGGAATTGAGTTGTTAATAGGTGAGCAGTCAGCACATTTTCAGTAGGTGCAGATGGTCACTCTGAGTAATGAGTGAGAACATGAACTACAGAAAAGGGACATAAGGGGAAAATCAACCTGTAGTCCACTGTGAAGGGGAAATTAATTACTGCATGGTTGGGAAGTTGAAGAGGCAAATTTGTTTCTCATCCTTTATAGAATATATTAATGCAAAACTCTGATTCAAAGACAATTAAACGTTAACAATCACACATTTCTCTCTATTTACCCCCAAAAAACTTTTGTTCTCTAAAGGTAAAACACCTCTAAAGGTAAACATCCTTTTTTAATCCCAAAGTCTATTTTTTGTCCCAAAGTCATATTCTCCTGATACTGTTATCTTCAAAAGCCAAGCTGAATACAGCCCACCTCAAGGATGTAACCTTGCAAAGACTGTAAAAGCACAGCAGAAAACAGAACGTGGGAGATGATACCCAGCAAGCCAGAAGGTGAAGTTCTTGCAGGACTGCTGGCACAAACCCCCTAGGGATAGCTCCCTGCAGTATGTGTTTCCAGTGGAACAGGTATTTTCAACAGGACTGCCCTTTTCTTCATTCTTACTTGTATTTGACTATATCTTCAAGGAGAGTCATTTGAGTGGTTATCACAGGACAATACAACCCTTTTATTTTATTTATTTTTCTTGTCTGCTTTTTCACAGCCATAAAGGGAATTGTACAATGAAACAAAAATGACTGTGTGATGGAATTTATCTTAATTCACATTGGCACAGGTTTACTGTTCATGGGGAAACTGTCAAAAGCTATTAGATGATCTAGGAGCTTAAGATGTTTTTCAATAAACTATTTCAGATCCGTTATGAAGATGGGGATGCAGAGGCTTAACTCTCATAGGCTGAAACAACATTAAGCAAGTGGACGTTTGCACAAAGTCTCTTAACTGTCTAGGTAGCCATAAAATTCAGTTCAAGCAAGGAATGGAAATAGGCTGCAGTCTCTTAAATCACTGGGGCTACAGCTCTGTTAACTAACCTGCCAGAGGTCAGGTTGAAGTGCAGACCCCTAGTCGCTCTTTTGTTTCATGTTAAGATGGGCTTTGCCATAGTTTAGGCATGCTTCAAGTGGCACCTTCCCCCTGGCAGTGCTGTGGTGGTGTTTGGGGTCTAAGGTAGACCAGGAATTGACCCCAACAGGCATTTCAGATATGGCCATAGATGTGGATGTATAACATCAGCTGGTGTGTGCTTTGCTGGCCTGTTTTGTTTCTGAATATACAGGTAGTCTCAGATACTTTTGTGAAGCTTTTCCTTCAGTCAGAAATTGGTGTTTAGTTGCTATTCTGCCTTACATCATGGAAGAAATCCTAACCACAAGCCCTTAACTGGCACCATAGATTCAACACTTGTCAAACTGGATAGCTGGGAATGTGAAGTAAAGTATTCTCTGTCAAAAATTGCTATGAATGAGGACTATAGAGCAATTTCACCACAAGTCTTAACTTTCTCTTCATAGAATACAGAAGTATTACTGGATCACATTTGTTTCTTCACAGTCTGTTTTAGAGCTCCACCTGGCAGTAAACACAGGGATTACTTCTATTAAAACTATTAAAACTATTAAAAAAGAAGCAATGAATAGTTAATATGTGAAAGGTTGTCACCAACTGGAAGAATGTGTCCAGTTCATCATATCCAGAATTTTAGTTCCCCAGTAACACATCTAGATTCAAAACAGAAATTTTCTCAGGCTTGGATTCGAGACTAATTGTAAAAGAAGGGACAGAAAAGAGATGCAAACAGCTGTGGGAAGGAAAGCAGAGATTGGTGATGAGAGGAGTCACCAAAATAAACCACTTTGCACATATTTATTTGGGCTTACCCTGAAAGGCACAGAAAGGAAAAATGTGATGGAGGTTAAAGAGGTAAGTTTGAGGGTGGTTTTCAGGCAAGATGTGTTGGAACCATCTTTGTGTAAGCTAAAGAAACAGGTGGAGTGACCAGTTTGTCATTAGGGGTCTGATAGAGGTGGGAGTGAACCCCAGCATGGGGAGGTGCATGAAGGACCAGAAAATTGTGCTGTTAAAAGCTAGAGAAAAGGATGCTGCAGCAGCTGACAAGAGTGTCAGCTCAAAGAATGAGTAAGGAAGTCAATTTTGAGAAATAATGAGCCACAGGGATTGTCTGACATCTGAACAATAGAGATTTTTTTAGGAAAAAAAATGCGTGTGATGTGTAAGAAGTACAGTTCACTGAAAATTTATTAATTTTCAGTAGGCCATATACAGGGGAAAAGATATGGCCTCTGATTTCAGACCAGAGGCAGAAACTCAGGCAGAAATTCAGCTTTGGAAAGAGGAACAGAAACACTAAAAGCAGAAAACCCTTGAGATGCTGCAGTTAAAGTACGTGTGCTCCTCGCGCAGCAGCCACGGGAGGGCAGCCCAGGCTTGCTCTTGGCAGCTCCTGCTCTGCTCAGGGCAGCCTGCAGCAAACTTAACTGTGCTGCCAGCTGTGCCCAGAAGTGAATCCTACAGAGCATGACAGGTCTTCTTTCTTCTGGTCTCACTCTCCTTGTCTGGGTAAAATACCAAGCGTGGTATTTTGGCTGTGAGTGTGGCAGGGGACGAGGAGGTAGAATTCTCTGCACCCATACTGAACCCATCATGAGAGTTTCTCTGGTTTTGAAACAATTCTGTTAAAAAATGAAGTATTGGTGACTAAGTGCTGCTTTGGGATGAGAAGAATAACTGAAAAATATGATTATTAATCTCTTTACAAATGTTACTGAGGAAAACTTGATTTCAAGTTGTACTTCTTTCCTAAAATTCCTCTCATCTTCTTGTTCTCTCTCATTTAGTGTCCAAGCAAAACCTACGATCCGCTCATAAAGTCTACCAGAGACTTCCCTGATGAAGTCATTAGCTTCATTAGGCGGCACCCACTGATGTACAAATCAGTTTACCCAGTGACGGGAGCGCCGGTGTTCACGCGGATCAACGTGGACTATCGCCTCACTCAGATTGTGGTGGACCACGTCATGGCAGAGGACGGGCAATATGATGTCATTTTCCTAGGAACAGGTATGAGAGAGAACTTCCAGTGTCATTCTGCACAAACCCCATCCTTTTAGAGCACCTTTAGTCAGTAGGTCCATGATAAAACTCCGGATTAATATATTTTTCCTATGCATACATCCTCAGGAAGCATATAGGTGCTCCTGGCTCTGGTCCAGGTCTCCATGCAAGTGCTTAAATTAAATTAATTTGTCAGTTCAAAATATCACTGCTGTTGGGATTTTAATGCCTTCTGCTGCCTAGGTGATAAAACATTTAGGGGTCAGAGTACCTGAACTTTCTTACCCTCCAAATACCACTCAGTACCTGTCCTTAAATTACATGGTAGTCTTGTTTCCTGCTGAAGGTACATCAATAAAACTATTAAAAGAAAAGAAATTACCTTTATAGCTTCAAGGAGGACTTCCTATTATCAGTGTGACACGGTGCTTCAGCATTTTATCTCATGTGATGCTGAACAGTTAAGAAGAATTTCAAATTGAGCCTAAGGCAACAATTCAATTCCACTCAACTAATTTTAAAGATACAAATTAGCAACATGATAGCTACAAACGTGACAAGCAGGATTGAACAGAGAGAGGTCAAGCTATTCTGTCAGGGAAAAAAACTGCTTTGCTGTTTTTCTATGGATAATTATGCATCTGTTTATATTTTTATAATAGATAAATGCCTTAAGGTAAAGGTCTACTTTTCCCATAGTAATTAAATTCAGAATTACTGGATGAATTACCCTACAGCAAGGTGTGCAAAGTAATAAGAATATACCTATTCATAACGTTTCTGAAGTAATGTTACTCCACTGGGGTTTTTTGTTCTTATTCCCTAATTCAACATTCCCTCACTCTCATTCTGTATAGATCTTATAAAGCACTTTTCACTGAGTGCTTCAGTAAGGAGGTCATTGCCATTATCTCCATCTCAGGGAAAGTTACACCTTGGTACACAGAGGTGGCAAATTTTATCCAAGTACAGTAGATGAGCTACTGCCATGAGCTGCAAGGAAATTAAGATTTCAGTTCAAATCCTATCCCAGTGCTGTTGGATTGCCCAGCATTTTATCTGGCCTATGAGCAAATTTTGTCATATAGCACAATTTGATATATGTGGATATTCTGAAGTAATTTGAGAAAAGGAGTGACTTGTCAGAGAGCATCATCTCTTGTAATATCTGTTGTCTCATCCTTGAAGAGTTTCTATCTGTGTTACCACACACAGGAGTCTAGAGATAGCCTCTCTCTCAGAACTTTTATGTGTTTCAGCAAAATTGGTTTCATAACCCTTGTCTTCCAAAAAAAGACAATATCACAGATCCTCTGTGATCCCAAGTTAGTACAGTGGTGTCAGAGAAAAAAGCACAGTTTCATTAAAAAAGATCATTGAAGTGCTGTTTTCTCCTCTGCTGGCTGAGAAGTCTGGGGATGAGCTTTAGGAATGATGATGGAAAATCCTTGTTGCTTTCTGAGAGCAATATTAATGTAGTCAACAAAGTAAAAAGAACTCATTCCCAAACTGTGTGATGCCTAGGATTTGAGAGTGCTCACTGAAACCTACTTATCTTCTCACAGCTAAATTACAAATTACTTTTTCTTACTCTTACCAGAAGAAGAGTTCACTTGTAAAAATGTACAAAATAGTCTTTTAGTGGCTGTAGAGATGTTTCAGTTGCTTTCAGATGTTTGCTGTCCTCCATTTTAAAGTTTTTCATAGAAATAAAATTGTATTGAAAGACCAGCAGTCGAGTACTCTGAGGTTAGCTGTTCCTACCTGGCACTAAGACAAACACTTCAAGTGTAAGGAGTCAGGTTTAGAGGTGTCAAGGCCGACAATTACCATGCAGTCACTAGATGGCACTCCATAATATGCAAACATTTATTTTTCTTCAATGCCTTCCTTAAATGTGAGTTTTCTTTTCTGTAAGTGCATGGTTTTGTTCTATTTTATCCTCTAAACTCATTGTAAGGAAACAAAAGAACGATAAAATTTCAATTATATAGAGAGACTGAATAAGAATATAACAAATAACCCAGGAGATGTTGAACATCAGAAGATCAGTAGCTTATTATGTGTTTGAATGTACACAACCAGCTTGTACATGTGCAGGCTTTTGCAGTTATGTCAAACAAACTCCAAAAAAAAGCTCTAATTCATAAGGGAAACTGTAATAATTTGGCTTTGATTGGTAATATGAACTTCAGTAGTTTGGGAAAAGAAGAATGAAAATCTCATTCATTCCCTTACAGTGTGTTATTTTTCATTATTTTGATACTGTGCATAGGGTTTAGGACTAAGCTGCACTGCATCATTCCCACATCCCAGCACCCAACCCACTTCCCCTGAGCAATTTTTGAGTTCTTTTTAAGACTGTTCAAGGTTCACTAATGTGTAATGATCTGACATGAAATGAGCAGCTGTTTTTTTCACCAAGCAAGAATTCAAGTTAAAACTGATGAATAGATTTAACTTAAAAAAATTCTCTAGATTACTCCAAAGAATTAATGAGTAAATTAAGATTTTGATGCTGAATTATGGTTTGTTTTTATTTTTAAATAAATGAAAAAATAAGTTTTAAAAGTGCATTGCTTAACTCCTTGCATCAGAATGAAGCTTACTTGTGATTAAGGAGCTATACTGGAAACAAATGAATTCTATAAAAGAGAGGAAATAATTTTTTGCCAATTTAGTTCCCTGAGCTGGATCTCTTTGGGGTCAGATGGGGCCCAGTTCTGGCTTAGGAAAATGTGTAGAAACTTGTAGCTGGCAGCATGGCCGTGCCTGTGTGTGTTTGTGTAGCAGGAGAGTTGGACCATCCCTGCCAGGAGCAGCCTGTGACTGTGTTGGCTCAGCCATACAGTGAAACCATAAATGCAGTGTATGGAGAGAGCTCTGCAGGCAGCAGTGGATGGAGTGGGGATAGACATGGTCAGAAAGACACATCCCTCATGGAGTAGCTTTATCCACAGGGCTGGAAATGGAGTAGTCCATGCATATGGATGTAAAACCCACATACCTGTGGGTTTTACATGAGGCACATTTGTTTCAGACATAGGCACAGTCCTGAAGGTTGTGAGTATCACAAAGGAGAAGTGGACCAAGGAGGAGGTGGTCCTGGAAGAGCTGCAGGTATTCAAGGTAAGCAATGATACAACATCAATTAAATATTATTCAGGGGACTTCGTGGCCCAAACTGGCTTTGTCTGTCTGGTTGTTTGTTTACTGGAACACATTCAAGTTTCCAGAGGGACACTATGTAAATTTTTAAATGCCTTGGTACTCTTTGGGCAAGTCAATTGAAAAATGTCCAAAACCAAACAGACCGTGATTTTTCAAACCCGTAGAAAGTCTCATTTAGCCTGCTTTGTTCTAGTTTAAAATCTTATTATGAGCATTTTTTTATTATTTATACATGTTAAAATAGTAGTATTGTATTTTTAATGTAAAATTTTCTATGACCCAATTGGCATTTGGCAGTGTTCTAGGTACAATAAAATTTTTTGAAAGACAAACATACAAAATTCCATGGGTGCAGAGAAATCCTTTAAAATAGCAACATTGGGAGTTGAAAACATAAGGAAAATAAGAAGTTAGTTTTGATTATCACTGTGCTTTAATGTATTGGGGAAAGATGACTCAGTATTTTTGACCATTTCAGTTTGGTTATTCTGTAACTGGAACCCTGCTAACACAAATTATTTCTTCATAAATACAGCTTGTAAAAAGCCCAAGATTCTTTTTGTTGCACAGGCACAATTTCTGACTAATTTCAGTGCTGGTAAAGGAGCTGACATCAACATGCTTTTACATCAGAAAAATGGAAACCTTTGTCTTCCCTAATGATTTTGTTATTCATTTATTAGTTTCTTCTTAGTTCTTTGCATTCTCACTTTGCTTTCTTCTCATGCTGCACAGCTCTTCAGTTTTCACTCTGATTATCCATCAAAGTTTGTCTTTATCCATGACATTTTGATTACTTTCTCACACATCCTCTCTCCTATGTGCTGTACAGCCCAAATTTATTCCGTACTGAATAAATTTTGGGAACTTTTCCAAGTGTAAGCACAGGATCATTAAAAATTATTTCAAAGAGTTCATTTCTTCATATGCCTTTTGATACGTCATGGTAGGATGAAACATTGATTTAAAGGATCTATATGTCTTCTTCCCACTGTCTTGGACACCAATTATAAATATCACTCAGAAAATACCAAGATTACTCCGTGGCCTGCCAAATAATGAGCAGTTCCTGTATGCACACCAATTTGTTGCATTCTTAGAACATAACGTCAAGGGAAAGTGTGCCATATCATATTTAAAACAAAAAAGAGGTAATTTTTTTTCTACTCAGCAGACATTCCTTCACATTTTTATTGGTAACATTTATAACTGCTACCTCTGTGTTTTTGAATCCAGAAAATTGAAGGGCTGAAAAAACATGCTTTATTTCCTCAAACTGCATTAATATTAAACAATAGGCTTAGATTAATCTTCTGCTGGGTCATAGATAATACCCTGAGCTTTATGCTGTTCTTACATCAATCACAGGCAAAAATTTCACTGTCTCTCACAGCCATGAAATACATCCTGGTGTAGAGATCTGCCTATGTATCCCTTAAATGGCAACTAAGCCTTTCAAAAGCAAATGCTTAATATGAACTAAAGTTGATGTGAAGGCTCATTGCCCAGGATGGGGTAGACAGAAAACTCTGAGAATTAAAACTAATTCCCTCCTTCCAGCTGGCGAAATTTATGGGAGTTCTTTTTGGAAGCATGAATTTCTTGATTTTCTGTTGTTTAGGGGTTTTATTAATATTTGTGTAAACCATGCAAATGAACCTGTAATTTTATTTGCTTATTGTATGTTGAGTTTTGCTCTCTTTTTCACTAAGAGCAGGGAATTTGTAAACTAATATACCTTGCTATTTTATTTTTCAGCATCCTTCAGTTATCTCAACCATGGAGATTTCTCAGAAACAGGTAATCATAATCTTGTTTAACTACTGGAGGATATGAGTTGCACTGGACATCTATTTTCATGTGACGCCTGTTGCTTAGTGGCCAAACTTTCTATGGATAGCTCGTAAAATGTAACTGGAAGGAAGGAGATATGTTTGAAATTGTTTGCCTGCCTAATTCCTATTTGCTTACAAGCAGTAATTTGTGTACCCAGGCTGGTAATTATTCAGGGAAACAAACCTTTAGTCATATGGTAGTGGGATTTGTAAGTGAAGCCAGTGCACATTCTTTTTCCAGCCTCCAGAAATACTTGTCTCTTTACAATCTAGTAATAAATTATTATTACTATTTTTGTTTTTATTTTTATTAGTAGTCAGGAGAGATCAGGGCCTCACTGTGCTAAAATTTGTATGCACACAACCAGTCCCCCTCCTCCAGAATTGCAGCCTGAATCTGGGTGGTCCAACCCTGGCAGCACAGGAGCCGGTCCCAGTGCGGTATCTCCTGATGGAAAACGGTTTTATGGCAGCTCCAAGCTCTGTGATGCCTCCATGCATGTTCAGGAGGCAGCGTGACACCAGAGCCACCCCTCCCTGACACACTGAAGTGGCCAGAGCAGCTCTGGCACAACACAGCTCACTCACACGGGAGGAGGTATTTTGCCTTTCAGGCACGCACAGCACAGCTGGGTCCCATCTCCCATGAAAAAAGGTGGCAGGCCAGATGGAAGTGTTGCATGAGCCAGCTCCAGCTTGGACCACCCTTGGCTCCACAGGCAATCCACTCACACACTGGGGACAGGGGAGTAACATTATCTCCATCCTACCTCAGGATCAGAAGCAGAACATGAAGTTTATTCACACAAGGTCACCCCTAGTTCCCAGATCGTTAACATCATGACTATGCAGCCCCTCGTTTTTAAACGTGTTATTAAGCCATTCTTTCCATGATTTGCTTCTGATCTTTTACTACAGCACATCTAAAGGTGTCAGGGTGTTGAGTGCTGGTGTCTTTCCAGGACTGCAGTCCCTTTTCCTCTCTGCTGTATTGCTGGGATGGATGGGTACTGGCCAGTTCACACTGTGCCCTGAGAAACATTTTACACTAAAGGAAGAATTTTTCCCTTGTTTTACAAAATCTGGGGTAAAGTCTGCAACTGTGGCACTAAAGAAGGGAACTTTTTACACTGGCTACTTGGAGAACATTCCTAATTAATTCGCTTTGCCTGATTTGCAGCAACAATTGTACATTGGTTCCAGGGATGGATTGGTTCAGCTCTCTCTGCACAGATGTCACACGTATGGGAAGGCTTGTGCAGACTGCTGCCTTGCCAGAGACCCATACTGTGCCTGGGATGGAAACTCTTGTTCCAGATATGCCCCTACTTCTAAAAGGTAAGAAAAAAACATGATGTGCTGTGAAAGATCTTGCTGCTTGCAAGAATTTTAGATGTTCCAATTCATAACTTGTTGCCTTTTTACTTAGCATATCATTTGCCTTAAAATGTGATCATACTCTGGCCATGTTTCACATTTCTGCTCAAAGAGCTGTGAAGACAACATAGCTTTGTTTAAGTGTGTGTGACAGTAACTTGGCTACTGCAGCTAACATCATAAATCCATCACTTTCCCTTTTTATGCTGAATGTTTTAAGGCACAAGATGCTCAGATGGAGGTCCAGGTTGTGGCTAACTCTGCCCGAGAGGCAAGAGCCTCTCTTAAGCTGCTGACTTTTTCATAGTAGTTAGAAAGCAGAGTTTAACATAGCATCCCAGAGTGGTCAATAATAAAATACATTTAATGCCCTGACCTAACCCAACAATTGTATTTGTGGTCTAGCCATGAGAGGGAGACAGAGATTTAAGTACCATGATTTGACCACATTAGCAGCAGTCTTTCCACAGTGAAAGAAGCTTCATCTGAATTTTCTGTACCCACTAGCTAGGACAGCACCTTGGATCTGGATGGAGGGAGAGCACACTGCAGGGTCTAGTAGCACAGTGCCTAAGCTGTTAGATGTGTCTCCTGAAGTTTATGGCTGATTTTGTTAGAACCAGAGTCCTTCACAGCCTCTTCATTCCTCTTTGGACAAGGTCCTCCTGACAGTAATTCTTGCAGTGGGGTTGCAGTTTGAGCTCAGGTTCTGGAATGACACTTGCTACCTTAGGGGTCACAGGGCTGGATACTGAGCCATTGAAGTTAATGACTCATGAGTTATCATGTCATGGTGTCAAGAAACTTTATGTGTTCTCCCTCATAGCCAAAGCAAACTAAATTCAGAGAAGCATAAATGAAAGGAGAAAAGCAAGTGTTCAGGCTCACTGCAAAGTCAGTGACACATGAGGCTTGCTGAAGTCTGGGGTGGGCTGGGACATGGAGATCGATGGTCCGTGCTTTTTCACAGATGTGCCGTTTGGAGAGAAAGCCAAAAGTCTGTGTCTCCAAAACAAAGGATGAGTGACTGGCCCTGGGAATCTTGCAGATCAGTTACTTGAATGTTTTCCTTCAGTGCTGAGGGCCGTGCTTCCAGCATGTCTACAGTGCTCAGTGGACAGATCTGCCCTGGCAACCTGCTCTCCTTCCAAGGCGTTGCTCTGCACACGGGAGATCCCACTACTGAACCAGTTACTTCCTGGGTGTCCAATTCTTCTACTGAAAAATGGAAGAAGTTTCCTATTTTTTCATAGCTCTTATGACATAAATGCAATCATACACAGAGGAATAGTTTACTTTCTTTTTAGTGCTGTTACACTGAAATGACAGTAAATCATGGTGAGTTCATGCAACACCCAGAGATTGGCAGGCAAGTTAGTAGATCATCTCAGACCATTGCCTTACGCTTTTTTCAGTCCACAAAGATGAAAGATAACCAGATTTGTCAATTGTTTGTTAACAAGCTAAAATACATGCTCTTCTCTCTTTATTTTGAGAATTGGTTTATTAATTAGTATTACCTTGGGCTAATACTGAGCTTTATTTTTAATATCACCTGTTGAACTTCAGATCTCTTTTATGATCTACAACATGAAATGTTTTTAGGTATTTGCAACACAGTCCACCCCACCAGGAGACCTCTGGTCCTAAAGCAAATTTAGACACTCTTTCTGTCACTGTATTACACACACTTTGTTTTAGGCAGATACTTTTCTCTCACTTGTTCTCTTTCCCCTCCCAAATCAAATTTGGTTTTCCCAAATCACAGGCTCTTCTCTTGATGTCAGTTGTACAAAACTCTCTAGGCCACATGCTGCTTTGAGGGTGAGACTGGTTTTAGTTAAGACTGTAATTGTCAGCAGTAGGATGAGAGCAATGCAAGTCCACATCTGCTGAGCTCCTCTGTATTTTGTTGTTGCATTCCAGCAATTATGTCTGAAGTGTTACAAGTTTGCATGCTCTTCCCATAGGCGAGCCAGAAGGCAGGATGTCAAGTATGGAGACCCAGTTGCACAGTGCTGGGATGTGGAAGACAGTGAGTATTTTTCACTTTTCTTGGTCTTTTGTCACTTAAGCAGCAGACTTTACTGTGAGGGTCTCTGTCTACAAAAACTTGCTAAGCTAAACAGAACAGTTGCCTTTGGCACACTCCATATCCATTATCCCATAGTTAAATTTTCAGAGCTGGGGCTGCTAAGGGACAGCCAGCATGGGATTTCACCCTTGCATCCCTTAGAAGCAATCCTGCCCAGTACTCACACCAGGCAGGGAGATATGCCCCTGACACCAAAACATCACACATGTCCCTGAAAGTGGCTCATGGGATACGCGTGATGTTCCATCCAGAAACAGGGCAGCAAATCCCACAGGGAAGCTTGCAGGGCTGGGCAGGGAGCATGCCATCTCTTCTCTGCCACTCAGGCCCCAAGGCTGAGCTGCAGCTGCCAAACCAGCTCCTTCCCCTTCCCACAGCTACTTAAATACTCCTGTTATTAACAGGAACCTACCCCCTTCTCCCTGCCCACTTCCCCCTCCCTTTCCAACTCCCTCTTTTCAGATGCCAAAGGGTCTGGCTGCTCCTCTGGCATCTGCAGCCCTTCTCTTTCAGCGAGCACTGTCAGTATGAAACCCTGTGGTTACACAGCAATCTCTGTGGCAGCATAAAATAAATGAATAGCATTCAGACCCAAGCATGGCTTTGTCTGGGGTTCTTCTAGCTGCTTATTAAAGTGAACAATCCAGACAAAACAGTATTGATTGTATCACCACGTTGAACACTGGCTTTGGGACAAGGCATCCCTTCCCACTGATCTCCGGTTATTCTGTGCCGCTGCGGTGCTGGGTGCCTGCTGCAGACCTCAGTGGGAGGCACTGCAGAAATCAGAGCTGCTTGCCACAGGATCAAAGCCTCAAGTCTGTTGTACAGTGTAGAGGGCTCTGACTGTACGTGTGTGCTTGCAGACATAGTTAAAAAGTCAGGGTAAGATCTCATTTCCATCAAAGTCAATGACAAAACTCTGTTCATCCCAAGGGCCAGAATTTCCTTGCTTGCTGCTTGCCGTGACTCTCCAAACACTGATATCTGAGACTGTGCAAAGCTCAGGGTTATAGAAACCCCAGCAGAAAGGCTGAAAGTGTCACATTTTCCTGGAAGGATAGATACTGGAAGAGTTAGCTTTAGTAGACAAACCTACAGTCTTGTAGCACAGAAATTGGTATTAATTCTTTGCCCTGACATAGATAAAATAGCAATTTCATCCACCTGGGAGTGATTCCTGTGTGCTGTAAACCCATGAAGCTGACCTTTGTCACCCCAGGCTCTTGGCTTATTTAGGCCATTTGCTATAATTAGTAATATTATGGTTCCCAAACTTATTTATATTCAGTGCTCTGCTGTGTGTGGTTCTCTCCCACACTTTGTTGGCTGAAAGAGGTTGTTTGGCTCTACAGAAATCTTAGTGGCACAGGGAAATAATGCAGAGATCTCTAATTTCTGTAGATCTCATACAGGTACTTGTTAAATTGAAAGCATGTTCCAAAATTGTTTTAATTTTGAAATGGAGCTAACTTTTGATTCAGGAGACACCATTTCTTTCACCTTCCATTCTGTTATTCACGGGGCATAAGAAACAACTTTAGTCTCTTGCTAAGGTAGATAAGACACAGATGAGACAGACTAGAAAGAAAAAGGAAGATGCAGAGATTAAAAGTCAGAGTTACAGAAGACCAAGGAAGGATTTCAGATCTCCTCATGGCTCCTTCAGTGCTTGCTCTGAAATATACACTGAAGGGAGGCAAACTTGAGTTTACTTTATCCCTGTGACTCCTTTGGGTGAACAAACCAGACCATACAATCTAATTTCAGCAGATTTAGATCAGGTTTAGTAGTTGTATTACTTAAAGGAAAAATACAGGTCAGATTTTAAATTCCTTATAGGTGAAAGCCCCAACTTTAAAATGGAGCAAGCTCATGATACAGATTTTATTGACCTCTTTAAAAACCAGTTGCACTGAAGGAAGGTTAGCAGCCGCCTCTAAATCCTTATAGTTATAGTTTAAGCTAAAAGTGAAGTTTCCTTTTGTGTTTTTATAATTCACTCACTCTTTTAGCATCTGTTCCAAATCAGGCTGTTTTCCCATTGCTTTAAAAAGCAGGTCAGGGTTAATCTCCTGTACCATGTTTGCTTTCCAGGCATTAGTCATGAAACTGCTGATGAAAAGGTGATTTTTGGCATTGAATTTAATTCAACTTTTCTGGAATGTACTCCTAAGTCCCAGCAAGCCTCTATTAGGTGGTATGTTCAGCGCTCTGGAGAAGAACATCGAGAAGAGGTAAGTTATAATCATCAGGGCAGGTTTCCTCCATAGAGAATTCAGCTGAGCACTGAGAGGCAGGAATTACTGGGACTAGTTGATGTTTTACTTTTCCCTGCCTCACCTTAGGTATCACATAGCATTCTGCTATCACCATTTGGGGCTTGCAGTGGGGAAGAGAGCAGCCATTTGCACTGTATCATAAGCATATTTTGATATTTATTTTGACTTACCTGCTCATCCTATTAAAAAAAATTAAAAAGGGAGATAATGTAGATCAGTGATAAAAAGTCAAAGCAGTTTTGTCCCCTAATTAACACATCTGCTTCTGTAGGTAAAAGTATGATCATAACCCTATCTGTCAATAAAATCTCAGCTCTATTTAGGGTCTGATTGTTTTCCCTTACCATGTTAAGCAGTGTAGCTAAGAATTGCATGTATGGTTTGCTGCTTCTCTCCATCTCTCCCCAGAGGAGGAATGGTCTGTGTGGTTAAAAGGCTTTTTATTTGCTTTTTTTTTGTTAGTGAAGTTTGAGATTTTTTGCTTAAATGGCACTCTGCACTGATGCAGAGAATTCAGATTAAGGATTGCTCCTTGCATCTGGTGTAGAAAGCAGTGAGATTTGTGATGGCCCTTAATTCCTTTGGGATGCAGCTTTGAGGTTCTTACTGATGGAGAAGCTCTGGAGAAGCCTCCAGGTCGCTGCAAACCCCTTGCACAATTTCCTGATGATTTCTCTCTGATCTAGTGACAAAGGGGCTCTCCAACATGACTGAAAGGTCAGTGTCCTGGGACTGGTTTGGACTGGGTTTGTGAGTGAGTTTCAAACCTCAGGAGTTTTCATAGCCTTTCTCTTACATGAGTGATTTTGTGTCTGAGGCCAAGTCCTGCTGTGATGGCAACCATGGCAACAGGGAAGGAGAAGGGAAATGAGCTGCCCTTTCAAAGGATCTGGTCCCAGGTGCTAGATATGCTTTTCTGTTAAATGTTCTTCCAAGTCAGAAATTAGTTTAAATGACAGGAACTATCAAACATACAACAGGTCTTCCTCTTTCAGTGATAATTCATCCTGTGAGACTTCCTGAATGCAGAGAACATTCTGGTCCTTCCCAAAGGCTGGGGAGATTCAGGCCAGGGCAGGTGTCTTTGAGAGAATCACCTCTGGCTGGGATGTGACACATGGTAGTCACCCCAGAGTTGCAACTCTGGTTGTGTCTTGGCTCAGAAAGCCAGTGTTAGGGGATACTTCTCATTCCCTACCAGATAAGACAAAAATCTACAAGGATGTATATTGACTACAAGACTTCAGTACTTTTAATTTATTCCACTTCTCTTACACATATTTTGGATTGACAAAACTTTTTTCCTCTGCTGGGGGAAAAAAAAAGCTTAGTTAATTTTTAGACAGGTGCATTAACACCAAAAGAAAGAGATTGCTACTTTGAAATAATACCTGTAACCCCCATTATAGCCCATATCTGGGAAAAAAAATGTCCTCTGATCAGATGGCCAAGCACCCTCCCAGCCACAGGAGGTTGAAATGCACACCCAGCTAAAAGTGTATTGGCATTTAAAAACCTACAGTCATTCATTTTACTGAAATGGAGTTACCTTTACTCTCCTGTACAGCAGACTCTGTTCACTTTCCCTAAGGCAGCAGTTTGTAAATGATCCTTGATCAGGGAAACAAGTAAAGTACTTTCTTAATCCTTACTGTGTGTTTAAGACTAATTTTAAAGTAAATTTAAGCAGATAGTTAATAGATTTCTGACTTGGGGGACAGAGGGAGGGGTGTTTGTTACTGTTTTTCTCTTCTTGTGTGTGTGGGTTTGTTTTTTTTTTCTGAATGAGAAGTTATGTCAGGTTTTGAGGAGACTCAGTCATTTTAAAAACAATGTATTGCAGCTATACCATGAACTACAGACTTTGTGTAAATGAGCCAGTTCTTTGTGTAGAACGTAATATTTCTATATCATAATAGATCACACTTCCAAGACTTAAAAGCCTCTTTTGAAGGGCTGCTTTTGAGTCTTTATCTTGCCAATTTAAGCAAAAAGATATTATCAGTTGATTTTCTCATAAATCACAGGTTCAGCTAGGCCTCTGAAGGTCATGAAACCAAACTCAAGCTGTCTTTCATGTTTGATTGTAGAACAAACTGCAGGTCAAACCAACTTTTGAGCAAATTTACAGCATGCTAAACGTGTATAGCATAGCCTAAATTTAGGCTATGCTCTTTCTTGACACACTTTGAATTTCCAAGAGCTTTGTTGTGGCAGTGGCCTGGCCCCTCTTACTTGTTCTGAGCCAAATGCCACTTACCCAGGTCTGGTGATGTTCAATACTGCCCAGCACGCCAAGGATGTTAAGGTTGGGAGGGAGTTAGGGGATGTGAGCACATGTGTGGTGGCATCAGAAGCCTCAGCAAACACACAGAATTCATCTTAGCACATTAACAGCAATGTTTACTGGGCTTACTCTGTGTACACAGTCTGACATCTGTTTGCATGAGAAAAGTAAATCTTTTCTAAAAGGCTGGATTAACCTCTGAGGCAAATTTAGTAGAAAATTTGAAGGAGAAATGTGCAGGAGATTTTCTACAATATGAATGTTAAAAGTAGGCAAAGAGCTTTTGCCACACATAGTGCCTAAAGCCACAGCAGTGCCTCTGTGATCTAGTTTTTGCAAAAATCAGCTCTTGAGGTGGTTTGGAAGGTTTTTGGGGGGGGCATTGGGCTTTTTGGGGGGGGGGGGTTTAGGTTGTTGGTTTTTGGTTTTTTTTTTCCAGTCTGAAGGCAATAGCCTATAGAAATGCATATGCACACATTGATGATTAGATTAGGTCATTTAATGTATAAGTTTTGTTTGAAGCTTGCCAGAAAATTCTAATAATAACAATTTCTAATATTTTGACCCAGCTTAGTTTCAGGATCCTAAGAAATTGAACTCCTGAACAAACTAGTTTTTTATATATTTTATTGCTAGATACAATTTTTAAAGAAACAAAAAAAATAAACTTTTTGTTTACTTTTTAAGATAACTATATTCATGTAGAAATTACATGTTTTCAAATGTGTAAAGTTAAATTCCATTTATGGATCCCTAAATGATTGACCAGGTCTGTAGAGATGCTGAACAATCATTCCTCCTATTTGATGGAATAAGTGTGAAGTGGTTAAAATGTTAATCCCTTGATAATTTGCAGATCCAAAAATTGAGGTTTCCAGGTTTTCTAACTTGACTTACCAGTGAAAATGAGTTCATCAATATGAAAACCTGATTGGAGACCTTCCTAGAAAATCCAAAGAGCAGAGTAATTGACTTTCTTTTCAAAATACGTCAGTTTGACAAAAATGCCATATGTGACAGAAACAGTGAGGTCATATTTAATGTATAGCTTGATCTTTGCTCAACCAATTCATTACCATAACTTTTCCCATTACAATTATATTTTCTGCTCTCTCTGTCTCCCTTCCTGCAGCAGATTTCTCAAATAACACTGTGCATTCTTTTAGTGCATGTCTTAGCAGTGTAACTTATTGTGATGACGATACCATGCTTTGCAAATGACTCCATGCACCTGGAACTTAGGTTACGGACTTTTAGTTCCAGGGCTGGAACTGTAATGTCTCAGCAAGTCTTTAAACTTGGCTTTACAAAGAGATGGCTTTGCACTGTCCCAGACATGCACTGCAGCTTCCTGAGGGAAGGGAAAGGGCAAAGTCCAGACTAGATGGGAAGCATTTGGCCCAGCAGGATGTCCCTGACATTTCACCCTTAAGGTCATGGTTCAGAATGTGACTTCCAGGCAGAGCAACCTGTGGGGAGGGACAGGATCTCCTGTGGTACAGAAGCTGTCACCAGGTCATTTTGCTGCCAGTGGGAGTACATTTCCCTGTAGTTCAGGGCTCTTTTAAGGTCAGGAGTCAAATATCTAGTGCTTTTGTGGTTAGTGTTGCTCACGCAATTGATCATGTTTGTTCCTGTGCGTGCGGCGTTAGTCACTGGGATGACGAAGAGTGTTTCAGTGCCTGGAGTTCATAAAAAACTCTGGGGACGTCATCTGTTCATAGTGGCTTAAACTGCTGAAACTCTCTGAAGCTTTAAACAGATACTAGTTATTTCTCAAGGAAAAGTCCTGTGTTATTTTATGTATATAATAAGTGTCACTACTGCAAAAAGTGAATGTGTGGCTCCCTACAAAGGCATTAGTTTTGGTGCCTTGTTGCTCTGAAAAGCATCAGCAGCTCTGCTTTAGGCTGCACTTCACCCCGAGTCTCCTGTGGCTCCCAATCTGCCAAGCTGCCACCCCAGCAGCAGGGGACAGAACAAACCATATGGTCTAAAGCGACAGAATAGGTGCAGACCACTTTTAAGTTTCTCCTTTCTGCTCTGCTCATACCTGGTGGTGAAAATAAATCCACTAAAATTCATGGTGACATTACAGTTTCTCCTTCACCCTTTCCTATCTGATATTTTGAGCTGGACCCACTTTTGGATAGGACATTTCACAAGGCACACAGCATTGTAACCCAGTTCCCCCATCAGAGCAGGGAGATGATTTTTCATTCCATATTTTAAGCATTTTTTTTTCAGTTTATCCAAGACAAGTTTCCATATATTTTTGCATCTGGAGGTTTTTGCATCATTATGGCAACTTTCTTTGTTACAAACATCTAGCCTAGCAGAATATTAAGAAAAAAGGCCACAGATTCAGTGCCAGCCCTGAAATCTAAGAGCTGGGTGATGGCTGAATAAGGCAGAAGATGCACAGCAAGGACTGAATTCCAGTAGTACCTTCTGTTGGGGGAGTGTAATTTGATGTTTGAATCTTTAGGTCAATGAGAAAGAAAGTCAAGAGAGTTGGGGAAAAGAGATTGATTTTGCAGCCTAAGGGCTACTTACAGTTCTCATGCTTTCATTCTTTTATTTTATTATATAACTCATTGCATTTTTTTTTACCTTGAGTGTCTTAAGTCAGACTAATACTTTTGACAGTTTCATGGGGAAAGAAGAGAACTAACTCTGAACTGAGTGATATTTCTGATTTGATTTGGATATGTTGGAGGAGTGACAGGAATAGAGGAGTTTAAGGTTTAGTCTCAGAGTAAGCAGTAAACTTCACCTTGAAACTAATAGGAATCATGCATTTCCATAATGACATTGTATCAGCAACACATTCTTCATTTTTCCTGAGGCTGTTGGTAAATAAAAAAAGATGTTAAAAAAAAAGAAATTAACTGTACAGCTGTGTTGTAGTTAAATTATTATTTTCCCATACAAGAGAAACAGTCATGTGTAACAATAATGTCAGAAAAACCCTGGAGTGATCTTTATTTCCAGTCAAATTATGAGGATATAAAAGAGAACAATAGAAAAACAAAGATGAATGTGAATTATCTGCAAATGTTCCTCATTTTCTTTTCTCCCTCTCTCAATTTGTTCAGGGGTTGCAGCTAACCCATGCTTAGTCCAGCTTTACCTCTAACATTTTTTCACATGTTGATTAATGAGGAAAGGCAGGCTTTGAAGCCACTTTCTTCTCCCAGACAGGTGCAGTGTTTTAACTGTGAAAGAGTTGACATGTGAATTATTTGTAAAGAGGGAGCCATCTAAACACATCATTAGCAAAGGACAAAAAGCATTGACCTAACCTGGTGCCACAGCACTTTCAAATCCTTGGTGTTTTCCAACTTACTGAGTGCTTAAAGATTTGCCCTCATTATTGGCAATACTTAATTTTTTCTCCATTGTTAAATTCAGGTTGTAAAAATCAAGTGTTAGATTTGCACGGGGATCTTTTCCCTTTGTCATACATTGCCAGTATCTATGGCATGTGCCATAATTCAGGTAATGTAATTTTTGGAAAACTTACATGCTTCTCATAAAGGATGAAGGTACAGTTGTTGATACAATCTTGTCAAAAATCTGCCCCCATTTCAGTAAGAAAAGAAAGCTATTGGTAATCAATTACTTTAATCTCTGTGATTTTTAAATTGTTTCCTATGGAACAAAACTATGTCTCTCCTTTTAAAGTTCTATTGTGTGCTCAAATATAAGGACATGTCAGCAAGCTTCTATAAATTTAAGCATGTGTATTTCTGAATTGTTAAATCCTATTTAGAAATATTTTAAAAGAGTTACTGATTTTGACATGGTGGGGGGTGAAACAGTGAATCCACAGTTGAACAAAATAAAATTTCTTTTATCTAAGTAGTCTTTTAACTTTCCTCATAATTTAATAAAGTATATTTTACATCTATAGGTCAGGAACCAAAGACCACATTAAACATTCAAGGGAAAGGTTAAAGATCTACTACCAAGTAATGAAATGCCAGGTGTTTATGAAACTCCAGAGCCCTGTGGGGAGGAAAGCATAGAGGAAAGACAGGAGGAGTTCTGAACCTATGGGTAAAACAACATAAACAGGATACCAAAAAGAGAAGTGAGGGGGGAAAGCAGTAATGAAGTGTTTCTCAATATGTGTGAAATCGGAGCCATAATTTTATCCTGCCAGAGGATAAGAAAGGAATGAACAATGAGGGCACAGAGAAGGAGGTGACAGTCACCCTAAATCACCATCCAAGGTTAACACAGGACACTGTGTAGGAGCACTGCTTCATTAAAAATAGGAGTCACGATGGGCTGGGATTAAGGGACATAACCAATTTAGACTTCTACCTTTATATGCATTATCCCAAGGCAGAGAGGGGTACAGCTCCATCAGTTAACACGTTTATGACTAAAAAGTGATGACTGTCACACAAATGGCAAGGAGTTAAGAGTGGCAGGGTGCTGGATTTGGGGGTCCAGCAATCTTTCCAAGTTTAGATCTGCCATTATTCTGCCTTTCTTTCACTGAAAAGAGGCAAAGCCCTAGGGAGGGCACTTTGGACTGGCACCCAGCCAGCCAGAAGAGCCAGCTGGAGCCCTTCCAAGTGTGGGAGGTGCACAGCTGTCAAGACGCTCTAGACTACAATACTGGCAGAGCCACCGGCAGGCAGATGCTACTGCTGCGATTGCATCAAGCCCCGAGCTCAAAGACATCAGTCCTGTTTTCACTCAAACAATGTGGGAACTTGGTCTTTGCAGAATGCTTATGAAACCCAAATGTCTGGAAGTTAGCTGCTTCTTCCCATGCTTTTCCCTCAATTTCGCAAACTTGGATCTTCATGTTGACATGAAGTCTGGGCAGAAGAAAGGGATTTCCTTGTCGAGTTGCAAAAGCCAGGCCTCGAAGCACTTCCACCTGGCCCCTGCTCCTGCTACTCTCTGTGGAGCACAGCACCGCAAGGAAACACCTGCCCTAGACATACTTCTGCCTAGAGCTCCTTATTTGCAGATTCTTTTGTAAATTTTATGCTCCTGTTTTTACTGTAAAAAAGGAACGCTTACTTGGAGTGAAGTGTCACTAGCTGATGCAGTTGAGGACTAGTGCCCTGTTCTGTGGGTTCTGTGAAAGAAGAGCAGTCTAGTTTGTGTCCCTGTTACCTTCTGTGCAAGTGCTTGTGGCTTGACCATAATTTCTCTGGTTTAAACACAGTGTGGTAAATCAGAAGTAGCTTGTGCTCATTTGGCACCTGTTGTCAGGACAATCGATTTTCCAGGAATTTCATGAAATTTGTATCATTTCACCCTCTGGGTACTGAGTAGACATGCTTATATACAGTTTACAAACAATGAAACTAAAGCTCCCAACACCAACAACTGGGGTCAGGAGCCAAAAAATACTTGGCCAGAGAAACAGGCAACCAGAGCTACAATCTGACCTTCTTTTGTAGCAGCTGATTTCTTGTGTCTGCTGCTCTCATATCCATGGCAGTACACAGGCCTGTATCCATCCATGCAGATGACTTGCCTACATACCTGTCTAATCCATGTTACTGAACATTGTTACAGCTGAAGCAGTAGGAAACAAAAGTCTCTGTCTCAGGTTGTATTATATTTATGTGTATTGTTTTTTCTGGAGATCTCAATATGGTCTCTCAAACTTTTTTCATGATTTCAAAGTCATTGTCATAGAAACTTAGGAAAGGGTAAAGCTAAAAGCCCTGGAAGGTCATCTCATCCATCTCTTTGCTCCAAGAGACTCTATTATGATAAAGTACTAGTGAGTTAGAATCATAACAGATGGAGAATCATATGTATGTATAAATTTTTTCCCATGGAGGAGCAGAGGGAATTGTGTGCAGATTTTTTACATAAAGAAACAGTGTGTAGCTTACCCACTGTGAATAAATCTAATTTAGTCATCTTTATGCCTCCCTGATCTTCATCCTCTGAAGTTTGCTGGAGGGTCAGATGTGCACTCGGGGAAATTTTGCAGATTCTGTGTTGGTTCTTTCTGCCCCCCGACCCCCCCCCTTTTCAAACCCACTACCCAGCCTTAAGCTCAAGTTTTCCCCCTTGGCAGTGATTCCACCAGCAGAGCAGAGGCTGCTTCCAGCAGCAGTGCAGGTCTGTGGGTGCAGCTGTGCTGCAGCCTCTGTGTGGCAGCAGAACACAGCGGGCCTGGGAGGGAACAGCCTGGGACAATCCAGCATCATTTTCAAAGGAAATGCTGCTGTTGGACGTCAGGAGTAAAGGCTCTGCTTTCTACTTCCACCTCTGCTACTAATCTTTATATGGTCTTTGGCAAATCACTTACCTTCTATGTTTCCCAGATGCAAAAATACTTAGGTGCCCAGTGCCCCATCCCATTTTTTGGTTAGGTTTTGGTTTTGGGTTTTTTTTGAGGGGGGGACACTATTTTTTGATTTAGGTTATTTTAGAAATAATTTTCAGATTACCAGAAAGGTAACTTACCTGACAGTATTAGTCATCTAAGGTACACCTTACTTTTAACATGTGGGTTTTTTAAACACATGTATTTAAAAAAATATTTCTATTCGTAAATTAAATTACACCTCCATGCTGTCAGACTTCAGCTCCCACTTACAATCTTATTCTTTTGTTTAGGGTTTTTTAAATTCTTATTTTTCTCAAAGTTATTCTCCACAGATCTTAGCAGTGAAAGAACTGTACTTTGTTGTATCCATCCAGCCTTATTGCCTGCTTTTAATCACATCTCAGTGAGTCAAAGCCAGGATCAACTTCCTTTTGTAAAACTTGGTTGAAGATCAGAAACACAGCATTTCACTGGAAAATCAGTAGTAGTATTCATATTCATTGTAACAGGGCCTCAGCACTGCAGATATATACAGGCACTCTGGTATTTTGGGTGTATTACAGATACCTCAAAATGAGCAGTTAAAAAAACAAATGGGATTTGTGGCAGTATATAGCTCCCCTTCCTTGGAGAAGGCAGCCACACTCACTGCACTGTGGTGTGATGAGTGTTGCTGTCTGTCCTGTCAGCTGTACAGCATGTGTCTCTTGCTGCTGCCTGCTGAGTGTCCGTGATCCAGATGTTGCAGTTAGGGACAGGACTTGGGCCTTGAAGGAGCTGCTGGTATCTGTCCCAGGGGCCTCTGGGGATGGGACACTCCATGTCCCAGCCAGGCCTTGTGTCCACCTCACCATAGCACTGACACACATCTCATTTTGACAATGAGACTCACCTCCTGTGTTCTTTTTTTTTTCCAACCCCCCAGCTGAAGGCTGATGAAAGGATCATTAAAACGGAGCATGGGCTGCTGATCCGCAGCTTGCAGAGGAGGGACGCAGGAGCCTATTTTTGCAAAGCCCAGGAGCACACCTTTGTCCACACCATCGTGAAGCTGAATTTAAACGTCATCGAGAACGGACAGATGGAAAGCACTCAGAAAACTGAGGACGAGGAGGGCCGGGTGAGGGATTTGCTGACGGAGTCCCGGCTGAGGTACAAGGACTACATCCAGCTCGTCAGCAGCCCCAGCTTTAGCCTGGATGAGTACTGTGAACAGATGTGGCACCGGGAGAAGCGGCGGCAGCGGAACAAAGGTGGTGCCAAATGGAAGCATGTGCAGGAGATGAAAAAAAAGCGAAACCGAAGGCACCATGAGCCAGCCAGGCCACCATCGACGTAGTTTGTAAATGCTATTTAAAGAAAGGACATTTTCCATTAAAAAAAAAAAATAAAAATACTGTGTTCTGGTTTTGTGCATCTTGCCTATGAATTAGTACTGCTTCTTCTCGAAATCAGAAAACTTACCATCACTATTAATCTGTGTGAGAATGTACAGTTGGATTCAATGACAAATGATATGTTCCTTATTGGAATGCCACAAGCCAGGCAATAATTTCAAATGCATTCATTAAAAAAGAAAAAGTGTACACTTTTAGCTAATTTCTGGGTAGCCTTAGATGGTGTGAGCTGTGTTCTTTACTTCCTGCATAATTTTCACATAGGGTTTAGTGTTTGTGTTCCCATATTAACATTTGCTGCCACATTCCACCCCAGAGGTGGCTACATTTCAGGGGAAGGCAGATGTACTTCTAGTTCTTTGGCATCTTTCTGAATAAGAAGCATGGTAGAAATGTGTGACAGATCTGCAAAAATACCCACTAATTTACCCACTGGGCCTGTATACAGGCACGCGGGTAGGGTTTGCTAGCACAGAGAGGCACAGCAAAAAATCAAATTAAGTTTTGGCTTAGGCACAGCATTCGTTCTCCCCATAGAAAAGAGAAAGTATAATCATAGTTTAAGAGGGGGGAATTACCAAGCATTTCTCGTTAGTGTTTGAGTAGCCACCAGTTTGCAGTCCATCTGCTGAAAGGAAATGTTGACTCTAATTGAAATTGCCACCAAGATGCTTGGGAGTAAATTTCCTAAGTGGTCCATGGGAGGTATGTGCACAAATTCTATTAACAAATAATGGGACTCCTGCCTGCACCTCTCTTATGTCTCTAAAGGTTTGACTCTGTTTCTCTGGCCCTTTGCTGGCTTGGTTTTATGCAGAGGAAAAGAAAATTAAAAGACAACAACAAGGCTAAAATGAAAGACGATGAGGGAAATATATAGTGGCTGAGACCAGTGCTCTTGACACAGAGCTGACATTCCTCAGATGTGTGTATTCTTTGGGATTTTTTCTCAAAGGTCTTATGTATTTTTAAGTTGAAAATTTGCATTGTTGGAATTAATACTTTTATTATAATTAAATAAGAGATGTCCACGTGTAAATAAAACTTGTAAGTTAGAAATTTGCTGTATACCATAATTTCATTTGTAAAGTGTTCCTTGTTCCTTGGTTTATATTTTGGGTTTAATAATGTAAATTTTTACACCTAAGCAAGAAATTCTGGCCTCATCCTTGTCTGTTTTACATCAATATTATTCAATTAATTTTATTCCTGATATGCAGCAACAAACACGAGCTCAAAATCAGGCCTACTCTCTTCTCTTATGAGTCACAGCCCCCCTCTCCTCTCTTCCATCTAACCTCCCTCCGTTTTGCCTTTCACGCCTTTTTGAGTGTGAAATGACAAATTAGCCACTTCCTCACATGGAAGACGGCTTTGATGGATACCAAAATGACAGACTTTACTTGTTTCTCATGCATTCTACAGATCTTGAGAGCAAAGTCTGTGGGAAACCCATGCAATTGATGTGCACCTCATTAAGGGACCAAAACTGTTGGCTCTGAAGCCCTTGCCCGTGCTGGTGTTTGCGTGCTCATTCAGTCACAGATCTAAAATTGTGAAGGTCCAATTTGCATCGTTGTTCATTTCCTCTGTGTTGAAAGTCGGATATGGCAAAGTGTTCGTCAGATTTCAGAAAGGGATCTCAGCTTACCCACATTTCTTGTAAAACCCAAAAGCTGCATTTGCATGTGCTGTACAAAAGCCAGCGATACCATATGTCATTAATTTTAGATGCTTTTTTAATAGGAGATGTATGAGTTAATTAGGAGATATTAGATAGCATGCATACAATGCTTTGATAGTGTAAAGCACCGAGTGCTAAATATTATAAAATACATCTGTGGGGAGGAGGGAATTTCTCAGCACAGGACCTTTAATCAGCAGAAAGACTGATGCTGAAGATACTAACCAGTCATACAGTACTTTGAGAACATGCAGAGAACTTTTTGGCATTTTTGCTGCAAAATAATGTAGACCAGGCATTTCACAAGAGGCTCATCAATTTGGGTACCTTGATTTTAGGGCCAATTAAGACTACTTAGGGAAGGTATGTGGGGTATTAAACTACTATGCAGGGATACTTAATATTCTTGGCTGGAAGATTATGCTGTCACCATACAGAACCTGCTTAGTTATTCCTTATTAGTTTTTTATCAGTCCACAAAGTTCCATTTTACTGGCTTGGGCGTAAGGGAAATGAGTGGAACCACACCAAGGCTATGGAATGGCTGCATTCACAGGCACTGGCAAAGGGTCCTCTCTTCTCATCAGTGGTGACATGGTACTTCAATTGACAGCTCCCATCACGTGTTTGCCTACTTCATAAAAAAGCAAAGCAGGGTCTTTTTTCATACTTTTTCTCCTCCATGAAAACGAAATAATCTGATTCTTTTTTTGGGTATGATTTGCAGTTTGTATTCTACAAATGAACCCCCCTCCAACTGACTTTAGTAGAAATCTGGGATAAGGGTCTCAGTACTGGGAACATTCAAATTAAATGGTTGAATTAAAATGTTATTGCTCTTAAAATCTACTTTCATTTCTTTTATTTCAAATGTTCTTGCAATGAGATTCTTCTTAAAGAAATGACCTCATCGGTCTGGGGTACAGTGGTAGCATAAAAGCCCAAGTGAGATATAAGACCTCTTCCATCATGGGAAATAAATTCAATATTCTCCAAACCAGTGTGTTGCACTGGGTTCATGCCACCCTGGGGAACATATTTAATAATCCTGCATAGATAAAAATCTGTGGTTTGATACACTGGGTAAAATGAATGCTGTAGCTGGCAGGGGTAGCACATCTCGTAAGGTGCAGGTAATACACATGCAAGGAAGCCAGAGGACCTTGGAGACCAAGGAATGAGAGGGATAGATTGAGAGTCACTACTGGAGGTAAGGCAGGGTTTTGTTGGGCAGGACTCAGCAATGCAGACCCAGGAACAGGAGGAGCAGGGAGTCTTTTCCACAACCTGCAGACCCAGAGGGAAGTTCAGATGAGCTAGACCAGAAACTGTAACAGAGGACTATCCTCAACTTTTCAAAAATGTTTCATCTTTTGTGTAATTTAGAGGCTGAACTTGAAGTCTGCTTAAATTTAAATTCGATGGTTTGGGGGTCAGTTTGGCTGCTGTGAGCTGTACTATGAGCCACAACAGGCCTGTAGTTAAAATGAAACTCAGCCCTGCTGCTTTCAAGAGCACTGTAAAAGTTTAAATTGAATGGATTTTTGGTACAGAGTGGAAAAAAAGTTGCCTCTACATTAATAACTGTAGCTTGTGAACAGATCTCTTAGAGTGTTGATCCAAATATCATGAGGTTCAACAAGGCCAAGTGCCAGGTCCTGCACTTTGGCCACAAAAAAACCCTGCAGTGCTGAGTCTGGGGTAGAGGAGTTGGAAAGTGGCCCAGTGGAAAAGGACCTGGGGATGCTGGTCCACCGTGGCTGAACGTGAGCCAGCATGTTCCCAGGGCACCAAGGGGGCCAGTGGCGCCGGGCCTGGATCAGGAATAGTGTGGTCAGCAGGAGCAGGGAAGAGAATCTTCCCCTGCTCCCGGCACTGGTGAGGCTGCACCTCGAGTGCTGTGTCCAGTTTTGGCACCCCCAGTTTGCAGAGGACAGGGAGATACTGGAGTGTGTCCAGCAAAGGGCAGGGCTTGTGAAGTGACTGCAGAACATCTGAGGAATGTCTGAGGGAGCTGGGAGTGTGTAGTCTGGAGGAGACTCATGTGGGACCTCTTCTCTCTCCACAACTCCTGAAGGGAGGGTGCAGTGAGGTGTGGGCCAGCCTTTTCTGCTGTGCCTGCAAGTGAGAGGGTAAGAGGAAATGATCTTAAGCTGAGACAGGGGCAATTCAAATTAGATATTAGAAAAAATGTTTTTGCTGCCTGGGTGGTCAGGCATTGGAATGGGCTTCCAGAGAGGTGCTGGAGTCACCATCCCTGGAGGTGTTCAAGAGGCAGCTGGATCTGGCACATCTGGTGATGTGGTTTAGTGGTTCAAGGGTTACAGGGGCAGTGCTGGCTGACAGCACGACTAACTGGTCTAAAAGTTCTCTTCCCATTTCATGGTTCTATGATTCTAATCTTTGCTTCTATATGATACAGGATATTTATTTGAATATGCATTCAACAGGGATTACAGTTATTAATACATTATCTTTTTATTCAACAAAACCTTTCTGTTGACCGTGCTTCAGCAACAGGTCAGTGCTTGACTGAACCAAAGTGGTTTCAAGCAGATTCTTAGAATAGCCAACACAATGTGAGCTGTAGTTATAAAAATGCTGAAAACTGATACAAGCTTTAAAGCCCAACAGGGCTCTAAACTTTGCAGCAATCTTGCAGTCAGTTAAAATAAAACAGAAAATGGGATTAGCAGAAAAAGGAATAAAGTATTAACACTTACTCTGATAAACTGGTTCTGTTACTGGAAACCATTCCAACAACAGGTGTGAATGTGTGCCATAAGCAAATACATTCCCCTCTAAGCAGTTAAGCTGCTAGAGGTATCTAAGAACCTGAGCACTTTCCAGTTCATATGTAGATTTTGTCCCCTGTTCTTATGTCATTCATAATGAAATAATTAGGTTAAATGCAACAGATATACACTGGTTCATGTGCTTTTGAGATCAGAAGATCCCTACAGTTTAAATGGTATGAACTGCTTTTTGAACCATTATAGATATTGATCTTCATTTAACATTTCAGATAATGAATAATTATTTGTTATCGTTACTCATTGATTGTGTAATCAGCCTGTGTCCCATAAAAATGTCTCAATATTTAATAACACCTAATCAATATTTAATAACACCTAATGGAAATTGAGTTTGCTGACATTTTTTCATACAAGTGTATGTGTACAGGAGTGCATATACAAATGTCTTATTTTCTATTTATTTTCTAACAGAGGTTAATTTACAAAAAGCAAATGTGATTTCAAGAGTCAAGGTTCATCTCAGCCTCCATTGACAGCAGAGATAAAAATCTTTCTGGAACTGAAGCCTAAGTACGCTATAATCTATTTAAAATCTGGTAGTCAAATCCCAAATCTATGTGTTGCTCTGTGGAATATATTGGCCTGGTTCTTTTTGTACACAGTTATAGATGAGACATGGAGGTCTGAGGAATTACAACTACCTGAATGGAAAATTAAGCCCACATGTCTCTCTAATATATTCTCTTGCATTTTATAAACTTTAAATGGTCTCTCTTGTAATATTTTGCCATAGTGTTGCTAATGTTACCCTGAACTGGGCTGCTGTCATTAGCTGAAGTGTGACATTCTTTGCAGTTGTAATCCAGATTTCGGGGTTTGTAAAGTAAGTTCATTACAGTAGAAAAAATGAAGTCATGTGAAAAGAGTTAAATTATTAATTCTACAGAACAGATTTATAAGATTTTATTTCATATATCAAAATAGAGGTTATACTAAAATGTGTGAGAAACACCAGTATTTGTTTTCCCTTTCTGTGCAGGTAAGGATACATAACAAATTGTAACCTTGAGGGTCTCACTTGCCAGTGTGTGTCTGAAACAGCCGGTGTGACAGCTGTGGCAAGGCTCATTTTTTACTTGCTTGATCTTTTCCCAGTAAGTCCATTGTCTCCTGCCTTTCAGGCTCTGGTCTAGCAGATAACCCCACTTTTACATGGAGGAGGACTTTGGAATCAGGTGTTTTGTGACATATAAACACCCCTGCACAGTCATGGTATCACAGTCTGCCTTCAGGTGAGGACTTTCCTTAGCGTTAAGTTTAGCATTCAGTTGCAGATGCAAACCAGACACTGTGAGGTAAATTGGAGACCAGATGGAGTTTTCATTCAAAAAGAAAATTTTTGGGGCTGTTGCTGAGAGGTCTCCTTTCTCTTTTTGCTCATGTGGTTCCTATGTAAAATTTAAAATTAAAGTATTTTGTGCTTAAAAGCATAACATTTTCCACATGATGTAAAAAAAAAACCCAAACAGAAGAACATTTCCAGGTGATTAGTTTTTTTATTTTGATATGGACTGCTGGTCCAATGTCGATGCATTTGTTCAGATAGTACAAGCCAAGAAAATAATGTGTCCAAACAGATGGCTGTGATATCTGTAAGGATCCCAGACACATCTCAGTTTTGGTGGTATTTCATATCTTCCCTTCCCTCTGTGGTATAGAAGTGCTTCAGCTGGATTTTGGGATTTTTTTTTTTTTTTTTTTTTAGTGGTAGAGTGTTTTTTGTCAGTTTGATTTTTTTGAGAGGGCCTCTTCTAGTGGTCTAGGTTTTTCAGACTTTATGGGTTTTTGGTTGGTTGTTTTTTGTTTGCTTTATTTTGTGTGCATGTGTGTGTTTGGTTTGCTTTTTGTGTTCTACTCTTTTGTTCTTTCATGTTATTTCTCCTACTAAAAGGGACCATGCCCAAGGCCAGATGCTTTCTGGTGCTGTACTATATGACAAAGCAATAAGAGGAACAGAAGGCTTGGCAGGTTATTTTGGTATGGAGACAGCACAGGTTATTTGCAAGACACAAAGTCTTAAGGCTTAACTGACTATGCTGAGTATTCAGAGATCATAGTGAACTTCCCTGGCCTGAGTTGAAACTGCAGTTAGATTTATAGAAGGAATATTATTTAATTTATGAATTTTTTTCTTAAGATATTTTTTTAATCTGCCCTTTCAAACGTCTCTTTGCACAAAAAAAAAATAAAAAAAATCAAGCCAAACAAACTAAAAAAAAATCCCAGAAGCCCAAAGAGAAGTCAGCATCAGAGGTTTTTCCTATCCTCCTTCGTGTAACTTTCTCCCAGGATGGTTTTTGTAGAAATTAATTGTAATAATCATATATTAAGACTGCCTGTGAACGTCTTGGCTGTAAATCTGGATGCAAAGCATATGAGTCTATAAAAATACAAATGAAAAAAATGAAAAAAGTACTATTTCCAAATATTTACACTATCTTTTGGTTTTGATGATGATACCTCTCCATCCCATCTTCCCCAGTGACTGTCTCAGAATGTTGCTTGGCTGGGAAGAAAGGAAGAGATTGGATATTATCTCCAAATTATAAATTCCAAAAAGAAAAGTCATATTAAATGGACTGGCTGCAAGGATTATGATTAATATCTCACTTTTGACCAAGAAAGACTTTGTTTTCTCTTAAAGTGAATTTTGTTGCTCTTCCCAGCACAGGACTTGAATGCCATTGGGCTTCTTTTTTAATTTGTAAATCATGAATCGTTCTCAGGTTGATTTTGAGAGTTAGGGTGATTTTCACCCTGTAATACAGCAATTTATACAGCAATAAGACTGAAGTATCTATTTGTACATGTTGCAGCTCATTGACTTGACATTATTACAGAAATACAGCTTAAATAATCTATATTTTTGCCATGCCTGCTGGCTTATTACATATTTCAATTTTACATGCAAAGGTAGCTGAAGCAAATGTATGTTTCATCAGTACTATAATAAACAGAAAAATCTGAGGTTTTGCCTCTTTTTTAAACCCATATAGAACTACAGTGTAAAACGTAAGATTTCAGAGAAA